CCCTGCTGGAATTTCTCCCTGTCCCAAACATCCCTGCTGGAATTTCTGCCTGTCCCAAACATCCCCGCTGGAATTTCTCCCTGTCCCAGAATTCCCTGCTGGAATTTCTCCCTGTCCCAGACACTCCCAGCAAGGCACAGAAGAGAAGGAAGAGGGAAAAGTCCTTCCCTGGCAGAATCCCGGGATCTCCCCATGGAAAAGGGCTTTTCCAGGGATTGATCCCACAGAAGGAGGCTCCAGGGAGGTGGGAGGGAAGAGGTTCCAAGGCCTCCCTGGATTTAAAATCCCTCTTTACCAGGAATTCCAAGTGATGTCTCCTTCCCTAAATCCCACAGGATTAACAGGAAAACATCGCAGGAATCGGATCTGGGATCCAAGAGTGGAAACAGACCCCCTTTCCCAGGCTTTTCCCGGGAATCAGGATTACCTTGGATGCTGTTGGCCTTCACCAGGTGGGCACAGTCTATGAGCACTTCCTTGGGAATGTCGTCCATGGTCTGGCCCTGGGGGAGAGCAGGGAAAGGTCGGGGATTGGGATATTGGGATCGTCCTGCCCTGGGAAGGAGGGGCTGGGCTGGAATTCCCAGAGAAGCTGTGGCTGCCCCTGGATCCCTGGGAGTGTCCAAGGAAAGGTTGGAGCCACCTGGGATAGCGGGAGGTGTCCCTGAACATGGAATGGGATGAGCTTTGAGGGCCCTTCCCACCCAACCCATTCCAGGATTCCAGGATAAAGGACACTCAGGATCCATTCAGAGGGACTTTTCTGGAATGTGGGGATGGCAAAGGCAGGAAAGGGGAAGGGAGACCCTTCCCTGGGAGCATTCCAGGCCGGGCTGGATGGGGTTTGGAGCATCCTGGAGCAGTGGAATTCCCAAGGGAACAGTTTATCCCGGTGCCTTATCCCGGATTTTGTCCCGGGTTTACCTTGTGCAGCCGCAGGTACACGTGGGCAGAGGAGAGTTTATCCACGTGGAACCTGTGGAATTGGAAGCACATTGAACAGGGACTATCCAGGAACATTCCTGTCCTTGGGAGATGGAAAAAGAGGGGGGGGAAAGAGAGGGAAAAGGGAGAGGGAAGGGGGAAAAGGGGGAGGGAAAGGGGTGAAAAGGGAATGGAAAGGGTGAAAAGGGAATGGGAAAGGGGGGAAAAGGGAATGGGAAAGGGGGGAAAAGGGAATGGGAAAGGGGGGAAAAGGGAGAGGGAAAAGGGGGGAAAGGGAGAGGGAAAGGGGGGGAAAAAGGAGAGGGAAGGGGGGAAAAGGGAATGGAAAGGGGGGAAAAGGGAGAGGGAAAGAAGGGAAAAAAAGAGGGAAGGGGGGAAAAAAGAGGGAAAGAGGGGGGAAAAAGGAGGGAAAGAGGGGGGAAAGGGAGAGAGAAAGGGGAGAGGGAAAAGGGAGAGCAAAGAGGGGAAAGGGAGAGAGAAAGGGGGGGAAAAAGGAGAGGGAAGGGGGAAAAGGGAGAGGGAACAGGGAGAGGGAACAGGGAGAGGGAACAGGGAGAGGGAACAGGGAGAGGGAACAGGGAGAGGGAACAGGGAGAGGGAACAGGGAGAGGGAACAGGGAGAGGGAAAAGGGAGAGGGAAAAGGGAGAGGGAAAAGGGAGAGGGAAAAGGGGGAAGGGAAGAAAAAGGGGATGGAAAGGTGGAAAAGGGAATGAAGGGCGAAAAATGATGGGAAAAGATGATTTGGATGGTTCAGGAAATCCGAGGCTGAATCCCAAGGTCATCCCTAAATAAAGGCATGGCCATGAATTATTCAGGATCCAGGAAAGGAACCTGATCCAGGAGCAGGAAAGGCTTCCCAGCTCAAGGAGAGGTTGTTCTGCTGGAACAGGGAAAATATTCCCTGGGAAAGGGATATTGGAGTGCCCAGTGCTGGCAAAACATCCCCCAGGGAGCCTGGGAATGGGAAGGATCCCGGGAGAGCTTGGAGAACATTCCAGAGCCTGAAGGGGCTCCAGGAGAGCTGGAGAGGGACTGGGGATCAGGGCCTGGAATGCCAGGACCCAGGGAATGGATCCCACTGGGAAAGGGGAGATTGGGAAGGGATTCCTGGCTGGGAAGGGCTGGGCTGGAATTCCCAGAGAAGCTGTGGCTGCCCCTGGATCCCTGGGAGTGTCCAAGGCTGGGTTGGATTCCCTGGGATAGCGGGAGGTGTCCCTGAACATGGAATGGGATGGGATTTAAGATCCTTTCCCGCCCAAACCACTCCGGGATTTGGGACGGTTTGAAGGTGGGAAAAGTGTTTTTATTCCCGGCATCTTTGAGGGAGCCTTGGGAGTTTCCTTCCCGGCATGGAATGTTTGGAGAGTCCGAGGTGATGGATTCACCTGGACAGAGATGGACTGGGGGGACTTTGGGATCCTCAATCCAAGACATGGAAGGGGTTGGGAAGACCTGGAATATCTGAGGGAGCTGGGAAGGGGCTGGAGAACAGGGAATAAGGGAGCTGGGAAGGGGCTGGAAAACAGGGAATAAGGGAGCTGGGAAGGGGCTGGAAATCTGGGAATGGGAATGGCTGAGGGAGCTGGGAAGGGGCTGGAGAACTGGGAATTAGGGAGCTGGGAAGGGGCTGGAGCAGCAGGAATGGCTGAGGGAGCTGGGAAGGGGCTGGAAATTCGGGAATAATGGAGCTGGAAGGGGCTGGAGAACAGGAAATGGCCGAGGGAGCTGGGAAGGGGCTGGAGAACCTGGAATATCTGAGGGAGCTGGGAAGGGGCTGGAGCAGCAGGAATATCTGAGGGAGCTGGGAAGGGGCTCATCCCAGAGAAAAGAGGGATCAGGAGGGACCTTTTCCCGCCCCACAACTCCCTGACAGGGGTCCCAATTCCCAGGGAACGAGGGACAGGAGGAGAGGGAACGGCCTCC